CCAGGTGTACCCTGGAAAAAAATACCTGCAGTAGGCTTGTGCGTCTAATATCATTGGCGGAAAGTGGCATGCCGTTCAGGCGAACTGAGGAGACCGTCATTGACCTCTTCAACAAACTCCGTCGGCCGCCCAATAGGGAATACAAACGCTACCTACAGACAGCCGCCTAGACCGTCGCCTCCTTGCCCAGACAAAGTTTCCGCCCGCGCCCCAAGACGAGGTGCAGGCGAAACGAAACCTCGCTAGAGGCACAAATACTCCATAAAGTCATGAAGACTTGACAACAACTACCAGTAGTCAGGCCATGAAGTTGGGTACGACTGCTGGGCCTACTTGGGCGGCGGTTACTCTCGCCAGTTGGTGCTCTTGCTTCGCCGCCTCAACTGCATTCCGCCAGTGGGTGACCGTTTCGCCTAGGGGTTGACCAATGGGCTGACCCTCTAGCAGTTGGTTCTGGATGGAGGCGACGACGTCGTTGCTCCCATACCCCATTCCTCCTGTTGCGCGCTACCCGTACGTTCGCATGTCGTGAACATTCCCCTGTGGCTGTTGACCGGCGTCCGTGAGGACGACAGTGAAGGCCGCGACGGCGGCATCCCACCAGGCGGGCTTTTGGAAGAGTACGTATCGATCTTGCCCGAAAGCATCAAGGAGGAAGGGACCGTACAACCAGGAGTATGATGAGGCGTTCTGCATCCCCCGAACCGCGTATTCCTCCCACGGCAGCACCGGTGGAGGGACAGAAAGGTTCGGTCTCGGCCTACCGCCGCCCCGTCCTCCACCGTCTCCTCTACCAGATGGACGTCCACCACACTCCCCTCATCCTCCACCCTGCCTCCCCCCATCTCCTCGCCCCCCTCCTCCACGACCCGCCCCTCCTCGTGCTGTCGGTGGGCGGGCGGTTTTGACGATGGCCGTCAAGCCATGCTAACGACGTGTTTGGTCCTCGACTCTCCGGACGTGGTCGATGGCGTTGCGGCGTGCTTGAAAGGCACGGCTGTCGCCAATTTTGAGGAAGCGCTCAAGGGAGAAGGGCTCGAGGAGCATGTTCTGCAGCGTACGGCACCGGCTAAAGGCAGTGAACGATTGTCCGTCGCTCCTCTCGCTAGTTCCGATGTCCAAGGAGCACCGCAGCAAGGTGTTTCCCTGACTCTTGTGGATGGTGGAGTATCTGCGTGGTCTGGTGAAAAATCGTGTCGTCCTTCTGCGTTGTGGAGCGTGAAGGACGCATCGTGCAGCAACGCCAGTGCAGCAATGCCAACACAACGCAGCGAGTCAACACATCGCAGCGACACACATACGTGGGAATAACACACATTGGATTGCGTTTGTTCGCAGTCGTCCACGTACCGATTGTCATCAGCCATGATGGAGTAGAATGCTGTGGTTCCCAAAGCGAGACAGCACGCGACCACAGCAGCAGCAAGCCTGCTACATGCAGTCTGCATGATGATGGTCGAACGACGGCTTAACCCCATGGGCACACACCATAACCAAACAACATGTACTCCCGCCGTAGTGTAGACCAGACATGCACGGGGGGCGGACAGGACGTACCACGCGGCCCGTGGCCTTCTAACTTCGCACGAGTAAGGTTGCCGGGGCGAAGGAATGTCCGCGGCGCGCCCTACCCAACATTGGGCCATGGACGTGTCAGGCATGTCACTCACTGCATGTCCTTTCTTGTCAAAGCTTGTGTTCCGAACTGGTGTGTCAGTCACTGCATGTTATTGCTTGTCACAGCTTGTGTTCACACTGGTATGTCAAACTGGTGTGTGTGTTAAAGGTTGAATTGTTCCGGCTCTATTATTTCGTGTTTACAGTGTGTGCTCGGCGACTAAGTCGGGAGTCGGAGAGTCGTCTAAGGGCTGGTTGCTGCTCAGCACAGTCGCCCCTGTGGCATTTTGTGCGGCAAAGGGTTGTAACATGGCATTGAGTAAAAAATTTGTGTGTAGCATGGCGTTGCGGACACACGGTCCTTGGCAAAAAAAGAACGCTCGCCTATCGAACTTTCTTGGAACCGTTCGAAGTACCGAAAGAACGTCTGACCCAAGAACTGCTTGTCCAAGAAGTGGTTGTCCTCCTCTCTAAGGGCCGTTTTAAACACTCCTTACAATAGTTTGGAAGCAAAAAGAATCATTTCAAACGCTGTGACTCGCAGTGATGTGGAGTTGTTCACAAAAGAAAGAGCCGCGCGTGACACGTGCAGCAACACGCAAGCGATATACCACACACAGCCCACATATCGACACCATGGACAACAGCGTGGAGACCACGACAACCCTGCGTGGTCGTCACACCAAAGTCCCGGCGAAATACCAGCACAACGGGTCTCTCGGGGCTGCTGTCGGCGGTGGCGGCTTGTTGTCCAGCACTCCGAACCCTCTGCATGGCTTCAAGGGGACCGCTCGTTCGAACACGGGAGGCGCTTCTGACACCAACACGCAGAGCGAGGGCGTAGCTGGGGGGCCCGGTCACGTGGCGCCCACTGCTTCTGCGCAGCAGAGAACGGGTACAAGAAGCGCGGCCGACCATCTTTCTCATGAAGTGGATGCCATCCTCCAGGACGCACGTTTCAACTCTACGTCCGACGGAGGGTCCATCCGTGTCGGCTCATCAAGCAGCGACTCAGGGAACAGCGACAGTGAGTCAGAGGACGATGACCGTGGCCGACAACACGGCAGGGGAGCAGGCGGAGCTGACGGAGGAAGCTCGAGCGGAGCTGGCGGGGGCAGGTTGAGCCGAGCTGGCAGCAGCGCGGCGGTCGAGTCGGTGACAAGGACCATGCGTCAGCTTCAAAGCTCGCTGAATCGCAACCGCAACAAGAGCTACAACAAGTGGTCGGCTTACCTGCTCAGGGAAGCCTGCGCACCGCGGAGGCTCAGCGGCTACTCGAGGTCAAAAGGCACAGACAAGATGGCAGCGGGGTTGACGCAGCACGACATCGTCATGAGCAGGACCAGTCCGTATCTCGCTGACTTGGAGGACAAGGCAACAGGTGAAGACCCAATGATCACCAGACAATGCTCGTGGTAGTGTTGCCACGAGCCTGTCCTTTCAAGGCTTGCATGGGACCTGGGTAGCTCCGTCGAAATGTGTTGCTTTCCTACGTTCGTGATTTTGCGGTGTTGCCTTTGGGAGAAAAAGCATGCTGTGTTTCGACAGCGGGGAGCAACCGCACAACAGACTTATTTTTGGACGATACCATCCCAGCAGTTTTTCTTTCTTCGTGGCGTGAGAGAAAAAAAGAGAGGAGGCGATGCCTTGTGGCTCCGATCCAGGCACGGCATGTGTCGTCCCAATTCCTAGGAGTCGCAAGCAGTCGAGGAAGTGAGTTACAGTAGATGTTCTGCGAATAAGGAGTCCTGACACGGAAGCGCAGCGTCAAACCCTACCGTAAGTGTCAAATGCTGCAAAAGCAAGGAAGCCCTCGCCAGCCAGGTTTTCGGCGAGCTTGTGCCGAGGAATGCATGGGGGTGTGTAATGTATGAATAACCTCCGCCACGGCCCTGCCCATCCCCCGCTCGTTGGCGCTGATGGTATTGTCAGGTGGAACGCCACCATCGAAGCCGCCAGCATCCAGCGCGGAGGCGCAACGAGTTCCTCAAGACCTCATCACAGCGGTACGCGCTGCAATCCGGAGTGAGCTCAGCCCCGAGCCGAACAAGATGTACGACTGTGATGGCAAGTCGTACACGGTCGCCGCCATCATGGCGGCGATCAAGGAGGAAGATCGCGCCGATGGGCGGGGCGAGGGCATCGGACAGCGGAGGAAGAGCAAGCACTGCGCCCTCGCTTTTGTGAACTTCTGATGCATCCGCAGTTGAGGGAGAGGTTTGGCGCCAGTAGGTTGCAGCTGAGCAAGAAGGAGCTGGACGCCAAGCAGAAGGGGACGACCCGAGACATCCATCTCGAGATTTGGGAGGCGTTCAAGGACAAAAAGTTCAAGGTGAGGTGCTTTCTCAATTTTTTTGCATGTTCCAGTTGGATCTAGGTGTAGTGGCGGTGGTATACTCCGTTGTGGCCTGCACGAGGCGGTACTTTTTTGTGATTGGCACCGACATGCACGCCGCATACCACTTGCGGTCCCGAGGGCAAACCTTCGGTGTTTCTTTGCTGTGCACATTTTGGCGAACCAAGGCAAAGATAGAGGATCAAAACGCATGCGCCCCCCCCTTTGCCTGTAGTTGTGCCAACAACGTAACATTGCCCACTAGCCCGGTTCCTTCGCGGACGACAGCAACATCTTTGGCGCCGGTATCAACCCCAACGTCGTACACCAGCCGGACATCAGCTTCCAGAAGTTCGCGACCATGAGGACCGACCTCTTCAAGGACCACGGCGAAATGTACTCCAACTTCAAGAATTCTGGCAGCAACGGAGAGATGTTTTCCTTCTGCAAGGGTGAGTTTGATAGTCCGGCCCGACCATGCTGTTTCTGTTGTGCAGTGACAAAACGAGCCTTGTGTATGTTTGAGGGTAGACGAGGTGCACGGGGTATTCAGTGTTTGAATGCTCGTGAGGACGTGCCTCCGCTCTACGAGCGCGTGCGTGTTTGGTGCTTGTGTTTGGCCTCTCCATCCCGGCGCGTGCTCCCCGTCGTGTTGCGTAGAAAAGCATGTAGGTTTGTGCATCCATGGGCCCAGAACTAACCTTAGACGGTAGTCAACGCCAAACAACGCAAAGTTCCTCTTGACGTTTGTGATCGAATGCTGACAAATCTCGGCTTGCGCTTGATCATCTACTTCGCCCCCCCGCCCTCCCCCCCCACATCCAATCCCGACCCCTCCCCGAAAAAGCAGAAAGCTTAGACACATACTACTTAGGGCTGACGGCCGAGAAGTACCCTGACATCCTGGCCGTGTGCGACCAGATGCTCCCCGACGGCACCGCGAGGAAGAGTACGGGGGTGGAGACCGCGGGAGGCGGACACAATGGTGCCCAGGGCGCTTCGGCGGATGCTAGTAAGCGGAAGGTCGCGAAAGNAGGGCTGACGGCCGAGAAGTACCCTGACATCCTGGCCGTGTGCGACCAGATGCTCCCCGACGGCACCGCGAGGAAGAGTACGGGGGTGGAGACCGCGGGAGGCGGACACAATGGTGCCCAGGGCGCTTCGGCGGATGCTAGTAAGCGGAAGGTCGCGAAAGTGGAACCCAGGGAGAGGAACGTGGGCGTCAGCGGCCACCAGAAGAAAAAGAAGAAGCAGGACGCCCAGATCGAGAACACGGCGAAGATCGCTATGTCCGCGGTGAAGGGGGAGCTCGGCCTTGACGCCCTGTTCGGAACGTCGTCCGCACCCACGTACGCCGACGCCCCGACATCCTTCTACGACACGAAGGAGGGGTTAGAGAACAAGGCGGCCAAACTCGAATATATCGCCAAGCTCCGCAAAGAACTCCAGGAAATCAAGGAGGACATCAGGAAGGAGAAGGGGCTGGGTTCGGACGCTGACGAAGAAGACCTACAGCTCTTGCAGGACCGGGCGACGACCGTGACGGCCCAAATCAAAAAAGAAACGGCGGCAGCTAGTGAGAATGGCTAGGTAGCCGGCACGTGGGTGCGTGGGGCGCGGGCGGTTAGCACTTATCTGTTGTGGACGGCGCCGGTTGTGCTGGTGTCTTCTCCATACTTTTTAACCTCCTCCTATCTCACGTGTGACGAATACCATGTTTGGTGGGGTCTTTGGCTGCATCTTCAGTTAGAGATGCATGTTGGCGTAGCCTTTTCTTTTTTCCTAGTTGACACGTAGTATTCGCTCGGCTGGGCCACAACAAAACGTAAGTTAGGGATGGAGACGTTTGGCGGCAGGGCAGGGTAGATGCGAATCGAAGTGGTGGTTTTTTGTGGTGGTGCAACTGGTCCGTCCGTTGCAGACCCTTTTTTTCCGTAAGCGTAATTTCCCGGCAACACAACTATGTGTATACCGTTTGTTTCCCGCGCGGCACTTCACCACCTCACCCTTTACGCCATTTTGGCATAAGCGAGAGAGTATTATTTGGTAATGTCGTAGTGTGGCTGCATCGTTCCTTGTGTTGTTGTGCCTGCGTTGCTTTCTTCGGCAGCGCCCACAAGGCACGGCAAGGAGATGTAACGTTGTGTTGCGACAAGGCACGTTTTTTTTCCGTCGTGCATGGTTGGTCCGGCGATTTTTCGGCGGCGGCTTGCTGCCATGTCCTATGCCTACCAATGTGGAGATGCAGGTTATTTTGTGCGTTGCATCACCGCGGAGGTGGAGTGTCGCCGCGTTGGTCTTGTTGTTTGTAGCGCCTTTGTGGGGCTGTTTGTACGTCTTGTTGTGTGGTTGCGTTTTTTGTTCTTGGCAGCACCCATAACAAGGCAGGGAGATGTGATCATGTATACAGACGTCTCGTCGGGCGGGGCGAATGAATCCCGTTTTTTTTTTCTTTCACTGTCTTGGCTCGGTGTTTTTTTCTGCTTTCACCGTCCACATCCATCGTCTGCAAGGTTGATCCGACGTGGGGATACAATCAAAATGTCAATGCGGTCCACACGAAATTAAAGAGCACCGCGCAAAAGATCTCAAACCAACGGCATGGTATTTCTCCCTGCGCGGTCGGTACTTGCACATGTCTGANCTTCTCCCTGTGCGGTCGGTACTTGCACATGCCTGATAACCACGCTGGCCGCTACGCGCTCAAAGACCGAAGAGTATTCTGAGGGTGATTTGGTCCCGGATCGCTAACGGGCGACAAATCAGCCCCTTCATTGCTTGGGTGTGACACTTTTTACCGACAACAGGAGATCCCGCGCGCAGCAACGAACGAACAAATTGTCGCCGAGAGAAAGGGACCGCTCATTCTCCAAACACAACTGCGAATTGTAGCACACGTTTCGCATTCATCGGAGGGACTTTCGTCGCAAAAATAAATGGGAAACCTAAAAAATAAAGGGTACACAAATACGGACATGCACACACGACAAGACACGTACGCCCCTAAGCCCATTCCTGTCAAAGGCAGGCCAACATATCACAGTACCCCCCGCGTCTCCACAACGAATCCTGAGTACCCGACCACCTCAGCCCAGCCCTATATGGCCACCCGCCAAACCTTCATGTGTTCCTCGACCCTTTTTCTCCCTCCCCGAATATGCCCTACTTTCAAGCACCGTAGTCCAGAGCGGATTCAACCCGCACAGAGCCCCTTCCGCCTGTCAGCCCTCGACGACTACAGTGCCTCGTTGCGCTGCAGGTTAAATAGAGGGCGGTATTGTCGCCTGTTGTCCAGTAGCATCCTCAGCGCCAGGCGGGTGAGGACGTCTCCCGACCTCGTCGGCTTCGGCACCCCCGTGTCGGTTGTTTGAAAGTCTTCCGGCAGCGTGTCGTTTTCCGTTAGATGGGGACGGTCGCGCCCGGTCTCCGCGTCTTACTCTGACATGTGGACCGGCTTCACTTGCTCATCGCGGAGGTAGTTGTGCCGACGAAAGAGGGCCGTGATGAGGGCGCTGCGGCCTGCGAACTGAACCCGCAACGGCCTCCGCAAAATCCCCCACTGCCCCACGAGGATGCCGTAAGCTTGCTCGATCTTCATTCGCAGTTGGCTCAGGTGGAAGTTGAACGAGTCTTCGTCTCGTGGCAGCAACTTCCGTACGGCGTCAGGAGATGATCGCTGAGAGGGTGCGCCGCGTCGCCTAGCACGTAGTACCCAGGCGGTAGGCGCGCCACCGAGTCTGACAGCGAAGAACGATTGTATGCTGTCATTCGTCGCACCGGCCGAAATGGCCGACATGCTGCAGAAGTGGTAGTTGGCGTCACAGGTCGCCTAGATGTTCAACCCGTACCCACTCTTGTTCCCGGAAGAGCAGGAGAGCACGTTCGGGGTATCCACCGGAGACGGGGCGATGGTCTTGACGAACAGGCCATCTCCAGCAGCAACACAACCGGAGAATACGCCGCCGGTGCTCTTGGCCTGCAAGGGAGGGATGAGTGTTCCGGAAAAAGAGAGTCGGCAAGAGGCGACAAGAGAGCCGGCGGCGGTGGGACGTGGGGCGCGGGCCATCAGCGATCGTTTTGAAGAGATTCGGACCACGGCTTGGACAGACATGCAGGCGAATGGGCTCTTCGGTCGATCCACTCATCGGTAAAAACGTGTACCCATGCGAAAAGTGCACCCATGCACAAAAAAAAAAAACTTGCCTGCACGGGCGGGGTGTTTGAGAACGAAATGGATCTGAGATCGCTGCGGTGGTTGCATGTGGTTCGCAGACCGGTACAAGATATTCATGGGACGAGGTTGCTTAGTTTCTCGAGGCCTCACTCCTCCTTCCTTCTGTATCCTCTAAATTTTCTACTACACGAGATGAGCCACAACTCAATCCGGGGAACTCAACCCGTTGCCTCTCGCTGTACTATGTCGCAGTCGGAAACAAGGCCGGGGGCGACAGCGCAACCGGGTGGGTGACACGAGATGGAACCCACGTGCTTCGGGTTTCGATTGAAGAAGGAGTATGGCCGAATGCTGTTGCTGAAGGAAGAGTACAAAACAAAACACGACACTATATGAACTTAACGCTTGTCATCGCGACGACAGGAAAGATACCCGCCTTACCGAAAAAAAACGAGGGCGCGGTACAAGTAGGCGGTGAAGTCATCCATGACGAGGACACAAACGGATAAACACGAAAAAAATATAAAAATACACACACGTTTTACCCACCTCCCACTCCTTCGCTTGCCGGGCGCAATCATCCCTTGTCTGAGGGAAAAAGAACGCCCCGACCTCCGGCGTGTTGTTGATCGCGTCCACCACTTCCCACAAGGCGTGGAATACAGTCTCCTTCGCAATGCCGAACAGCACCGCGACATCTAGGTATGATGCTCCTGCCAGCATGCGCAACGCCACCGCCAAACTAATTTTTACCGGCACAGCTCCGCTACCTGTGCGCTTCCCTGCATCCCATAAAACAAAACAATGGCAGCATGACACCATGTGTAAGCTACATACGCGGAGGCGCAACCAAGCACGTTGTAGACTATCCGTGTCATTCAACGTGCCCACGTTCCTAACCCTCTGGGGGGCGTTGCATGATAGCGTATGTCGGAGGTCGTTCGTGGTGCCGGAAAAAAAAAAGTTCGGCCGGAATTGGTAGCTAGAAATTGGACACAGACATGCCCAGCATCGAGACAGGCTTCAACACCACACAACACGCATACCCGATAAAAAGCACTTCCGCCCCCGCCACCTACAAGGTCTCTCTCGCTCTATTCCTAGCCCTCCTTCTGTCCCTCTCTTTCTTTCCTCTCGCTCACTTGCATAGAAGTCGTTGCTCTCCAGGAATGGTCGCAGCAGCTGCGCAAGTTTGTTGAAGCTGTGCTCCTCCATCCGGTACATGCGCCTGAACACCCCCCTGCGCTTGATGTCTCTCACATGCTCTTCCCAGTCCAAGCGCCGCGGCTCATGGATAGGTAGCCGTGCCTTGGTGGCAAAGCTCTGAACGACCGTCGTTGTAACTACAGTCAGCACCAGCACTATTGCCGCCACAGCCTTCATTTTCCTCAGCACATCGGCATTGTTTGTGTGCCTTGCTCGTGCCGGCGGGCGAGGACAGCGCGCCGAATCTGCAGGCACGCCCCGCTCTCTACGGTCAGCCATCACCCAAGAACAACCCTAGCNTCGCCCCGCTTTATACGGTCAGCCATCACCCAAGAACAACCCTAGCTGGCGTTCTGTTGCGAGGGGAACTCGTGGTTCAACACTTTGCAGCCCTCACGTGCTCTGCACTATAGTTTGGAAAAGTGTCCAAAAAGAGTTCCAAACTTTGGAACGAACTGGCGCCAAACTTTCTGGCCCGACTTCGTTCCAAACTATTTTGAAANTTTTGGAAAATCATTTGACGTGTTTAAAACGGCCCTAACACTACACTACACCCTCACCTCCTGTGTTCTACCGCCACCGAAACTGCTGTCCCGCTTGATAACCTCCCTACGTTACCAACGCCTGCTATTCTGTCTCCACCTCAATTAAGGGTCCAATTCCATGTCCGAACTATGTAGGTTGCAGTTCGGTAGCCGGAGTTTGTTGGGGAGGTCCCAAGGTTCGCATTGGATCGACTCCTCCCATTCGTCAAAACCCTCCCAGCCGTCGCACGTCGCTACCTTGTCCTCAAATTCCTGTTAAACTTTGTAGGCTCCCAACGTTTCCAACGCCTGTTCTTCTCTCTCCTCTTCAAGTACCACTTCCATGTGGTCTACAGGCTCGCGTGCAGTCACGGTTCGCCTACGTTCCTCGGTCCTTTTCGCTACCATCTCCTGAAGAACCCAAACAACTTTTTCGTATAGAGCCTCCTTGTACTCGCGACAGTGCCAAAACCACGCCTCATCGCATTCTTCCTTGCCAGGGCGGTTGACAAGCTTAGAAACCTTCCTGGCGGCCGTCGTCTTCATACGGTAGAGGCTTGATTGGACCACCATCTGGAACTATGGAAGGCGGGACAGTGAAACACGACGGATGTCAACTACAATACTGCGGCCAAGCGCGCCGGCCTGCACGATATGCACGGGAAAGATCAAAAACGTGGTCCGCATGAAACGCGGCCTGCACCTGAACGTACGGAAAGATTCAAAATGCGGTCTGCATCCAGGAACAACACCCTTC